TGATGTTTATACGACCCATGATCACTCTGACATAATGTTTAAATAAGATTTTAAATGTTTTAGATTGAGTTCAATCGCAAATTGGTCATAAACTCGATACACTAATGAGAAAACACTACTACTAGACTTCATTCATTGAATGACGCACTTCATCTCATAGAAATCATCATACATGACTACTTCAAATTCTATCTATATGTTTTCAATTCTACTTTTTTTTTTCATCCAAATCACGTGTGAACGATCCACGTGTCATGGTAGACATGAAGGTTTAAAGAAATTACGTTTTTTATAATAGTACCGATTTTTGGGATAATCCATTAAAGAAATCGCATTTTTCATTAATAAAACTGTTACAATTTTATAAAACTGTTACAATTGTTGGATAATCCATTAATAATTGTTGGATGCGCAAATTAACTAATTATTCAATGTTTTTGCTGGATAATCCATTAATAAAACCGTTAATTTTTTTTTTTTTTCATTTCATTAAACATTTTTCTAATAAGATAATTGGATTTAGTGGTATAACCAAACCTCTTACAATTGCACAATAAAATAATAATAATCATAATAATAATAATGATAATAATAATAATAATAATAATAATAATAATAATAATAACAACAACAACAACAACAACAACAACAACAGTTTCAATAGTTTTTTTAACATAATTAATAAGCCAAGATCTTTAAATTTATAAATATGAAATTATTTATTTTATTTTATGCAATCAACTATAGAGTTTAATACTTTTATGATCTTTATTTTTACTCATTTTAAAATTTTTAAAATGTGATACTATTATTTAACATAATTATAATTTTAATATTATCTAACTAAATATAATTTAATCATTTGTGCATGTGCACATGATCAAATACTAGTTAATATTTATAACCTACCTAACAATTATTAATTATAATATTATATTTATTTTATTATATAATTAATAAATATATTTCAAATAAATATTAATAGAAGAAATTGAGGATGTATACAATTATTTCAGTTAATTATTTTTATTTTAAACACATCAATTTTAAAAAAAAAAAGTAAAAAAATATAGAATTAATGTTTATTTTTTTTTTCAATATAATTTTTTAAATTTTAATCAAAAATATAAAATTATGAATTTTGATAGTACAAAATAAAATAGATAAACATGATATATCACGCATTAAATTGGTCAATATCCTATCATAGTATTTATTTTATTCTTTTAAAAGACATACATAGATTTCTCCATAAATAATGTAATCTCGTTTGAACGGTTAATCATATTGAAATTTAAAATATTTATAATGTAATTAGTTGCATTTTGGTTCTTATACTAAGTAGCGTAAATAGAAACTCGTGTTGCGTAAGCTATTAGAGTATAAAAAATTGTTTGTTAGAAATTTAAAAATAATTGCATGTAATAAAATGAGGGAGATTTTATTTTGGTATGAAACGTTCGAATTTAAATGGTATGGATAGGAGTGTATTTGAAAATTTTGAACATAAATAAGTGATATAAATTTTATTTGGTATGTGTATGAAAGACGAATTTTAGGTTGATATGTTATAAAATTAAGGTGATATGATTATCAAATTTTAGCATATTTATATAATAACTTTCCATAAGCTATTGATGAAAAGGCAAGGTAACCGACAAAAAACTTAAAAAATTGTGAGATTAGTAAAATATAGATTTATATAAAATATGTAATGGATTTTATTGTGTAGTCCAATATTAGTTTTTAAATTTAAAAGACAAATAATTAATTATTCATAATTTACTGATCAATATTAACTTGGACGTAAATAAAATAGTCTATTATTTATTGTTTCTCAATTATTAAATTATTTTGATTAGGATAAATAAATTTATTTTAATTATTGAAAAATACAAGTTTTTAATATTATACATATTATTCACATAGATTTTTAAATATATGATAAATTTTACCATTTTTTTTTGTGGAACCACATTGTATTCAAATTAAATTTCTGAATAAAAGAAAATGACTCTTATTTTGAAATAAATATAATGTAATTTATTATCAGTTATGTACACCGTACGAGTCGTGTACTAATTTTAAATAGACATTCCTTATGTAATTTTGCACAATTTCAATTTTACATAATATTTTGAATAAATTAATATAAGGGGCATATTATATATTTATTTCATATTTTTATTTTATAAATATCAAAAAATAATTAAAATTGTGTAGAAAGAGAGAGAGAGAAAAAATAATTAAAAAATGTGTAGAAGGGGAGAGAAAAAAGTAATAAAAAATTCGTAGTGGAGAGAGAAAAAATAATAAAAAATAAAAAAAGTTGAATTGTTAGTGGGATGATGTAATATTAGATTTTCTTTTTGATTTATTTTAATAGGAGGGATTTATGTGGAAGTTTATTAAGGGAGTAGGGAGTTAGAAAGAATTTAAAAAGTGGTAGGGAGTAAGAAGGAAGTTGAAAAGAGGGTTGGGGATTTTTAAAGAAGTGTCCCATATATTAATGTTGCAATCATCCTTCTTAATTTTGCAATAAAGATTGTGAATGAAAGGCAAATCTGTGTATTATCACGCAGCTGATTGCACTGTCCAATTGTCCCGACACGGTTTAACATGATTTGACCCGATTAGACTCGACCCGAATAGACCAGGTTAGACCATCAAATAACTACTCCATTCGATTTTTAATATATGTAGTTTTGAGAAGTTGCACATTAATTAAGAATATTTTTTTTGTCAATAATAATATTATTTAATGAAGATAGAGATGAGTGTTTTGAGAAAAACGAATAGTGAATATGAAAAGACGAAATGTATTTATTAGCTAAATGAGGGTAATAATAACAAAATATGTACTCCCTCCTATTTTTTTTAAATGTCATTCTAGCTTTATCATCTATTTGCTAAATAAATGTCATTTTGAATCTTTTGTACATATTTTTCCATTATTACCCTCATTTTGCTAATAAATACATCACGTCTTTTCATAATCACTCTTCATCTTTTTCTCAAAACATTCATCTCTATCTTCATTAAATAAGGTTATTATTGACAAAAAAAAATATTCTTAATAGATGTGCAACATCCTAAAACGACATCTATTTAAAATATGAGGTAGTATAAAAGATCTACAACGACATTTATTTGACAAATAATTGATAAAATTAGAATGACATTTTAAAGAAATAGGAGGGAGTATTTATTTTTATATTGGGTATATTCTTTTCTATCTTCAAAAGAAAAGGATAAAAAAAAAACAAAAATATATATCCTTTTTCTCCAAATTAGAGTGAGATATTGGAATCCTTTTGGAAAATTTAATTGAAAAAGACAGATTTATAGGTGGTGGAAATTGAATGCGGTGATTTTCAAACAATCAATAAACAAAAGATACAAAATAATAATAAAATAAATATTATGAAAATAAATAAATAATTAATTATTAATGCTATATTCTATATATTTAACTTCTAACTAATTACTGTTATTTTATTTGTTTATTAATTCACAATCTAAAAGGAGAGGAGCAACTCATTTTTTATTTATCTTGGCTCTTCCTAGCCCAATCTGATTGGACGCTTGTGAAAATCTTGTTGTGTTGTATAGTTCTGTTCGGGACAGTAGGCCCAAGATCTTTTTTACTTGTTGAACAAGGCCCATACACTGTGATGATATCAATATCAAGCTGATTAAGAGTCACCCAATTTAGAGGTAATGTAAATAAATTCGGACAAATCCTCCCTATATATAATTCCCGAATGCGCTAAGCCTACGTAGCTGCTTCTGGTGTTTCGGAATCCTATTTGGCCAAGATTCATTCTTTATAATTAGGTTTGGACAAATAATATTAATATATTAATAATTAATAATCTAAGTTCGGGTATTTCATAAATATTATTTAGCTATATCAATTTTACTAATATAACCCTTTAATTATTTGTAATTTTACATAGTGAGGCACTAAGTGACTAATATATCCCTAAATTTTGATTTGCTTCCTTCAATAAGCTATTGAATTATAAATGTATTTTAAAAGTAGATAATTTTTGTATTTCTTATCGGGTTTACATATATAATACATCAAATTAATCATCTTTTGATGACCTTCGATTTAACATCCATATTGTATATATAAAATAAATAAGTTATATTTATCTTTATAATAATAAAAAATAATAATATTTATTAAAATTCATTAGAAAAATAAAATTATTTCTCAATTGATATATTTATATTTAATGTAGTTATATAGTGTAAGTTAAAAAATTAGTATAATATAACACAAGTAAGTCGCACAAATAAAAAGTATCATAATAAATATATATATATATATATATATATATATATATATATATTCTTATAAAAGGTATTTAAATTTTCAAACTACTTTTTCTCATTAATTTTAAATTTTGAAAAAAAAAATTAACAAGCACCTGTGTAATACACGGGTATTGTACTAGTATTATAATGTACATTCATTTATAGTGTATACAACGTCAGCCGTTGTATATTTAGTACTATACGGGACATTTTCGTCTTGCGGGAAGAGCAATCATCTCGACTTGGTTATCAACGTTTTTTTTTGTCTTTCTGCTTTCAATTGTAATTTTGTTTATAGTTCAAATTGTACGAACTGAAAACATCATTTTCAATTCATAGGTTTCCGTCGTAATCAAAACCCATACCGTGTTATTGACTTCATACTCCAAAAACATGGCAAATTGGCAATATGCCTTAGGTAGCTCCGATTATTCTTTTATTTTTGGTTTTCTTACGTTTGAATGAATGGAGAGTATCGTGTAAAAACTTGCAGTACAGTACAAGTCACTGTTTCATCCTTGCTTTCTGCATTTTTTCTTCTCCTTTTTTCTTGTCACTTTCCCCCTTTTCCTTACTGTGTAATTCGATTTTTCCGATGTCATTTATCATTCATTAGTGGAGTTTAGAAAAAAAAAATAACCAAGAGAAAAAAAAAAAATTGAAAATTTAGGAAAATGGGAAGGGTGTTTGCGTTGACTCTCGAAGGCTCGATCTACAGCTGCAAGCACTGCGGAACCCATCTCGCTCGTAGCGACGACATTGTTTCCAAGGTTCTTGCATCATTCTCGTCTCGATTCTCGTCAATCATCAATTTTTTGTCCATTTTGTTTTAGAATCTGTGTTTGATCCTCAATTTAGGGCTAATGTTATGTTATCGGTTCTCA